TTCAGCTTCATGAGTCGACAACAAGAATAATCTGATGCTCCTGAGGAGGGAGGACAGCAGCCCTACTGATTACATCTGTAATATCTGACATTTAATCAAGTCTGCTGCTGAAACTGCCTCTCAGCAACCTGACGGCATAACATTATCCACTATGGTGGGAATAATGTTGCAGCTCCATGTGCTTTATGAGAAGAAATAATCTTATTACTGCAACATAACAAACCCAGCGACAAACGTACAATCTGAAGAGGCAGTTATTACAAAGCTACAATAAAGTTTATCAATTACTTTAGTGGTTAATCGATTGTTTCATCTTCAAAATGTCAGAAAATGATAAATGCCCCTCAAAGTTCCAAGGAGACGTCTTAAAATGTCTTGTTTTGTCTGAGCAACAGTCATGAACCCAAAGATATTCAGTTTGCAGTTATATAAGATAAAATCATTTAAGCAGATAAATAACTTAAAGGTTCAGTGTGTAAGTTTTAGTGCCTTCTAGTGGTGAGGGTTGGGAATTGCAGCCAGCGGCTCACGGTGCATTCAGGTGCTCCTCAGATGGTCCTATTTCCCGAGTTGTCTGTCTCATTCTAAGGTAATAAAATCATAACGGTTCATTATGTAAGGTCTTTACACACCACTGAAAACAGAGTTATGGATCTTATATTGCATTTCTGTCAATATATCCTCCTAAATATGACACACTGGACCTTTAAACATCCAATCAATTTTTATGTTTTTGTCAGTTTACTAATTGATTAATCATTTCAGCACTGCTCCTATCCCTCCAAGCTGATTGGCAGGTATTTTAATATAGCAACTAAAATAAGACACGAAGCTGCAGGTCTGATGATCTCTACAACATGTAGTAATTGTTTTAAAATTCTGAAGGCTGCAGTTTGTGGTGCTGTTGACCATATAGTGTTATACTGCGAGGTGTACTGAGAAAAGACTGTGTTCAACTCTAAGGTGCAGTGATTGGGTAAGGGCAGAGTGTCACACTCTGAACCCCGATTTGCCCCTGGCGGCTGTTCCGCCAGTGTATGAATAAGTGTGAATGTTAGTTTCTGTTTGAGCACTTAGGCTCAGTGTATGAATAGATATATATATATAGAGTGTAAAAGCGCTTTGAGTGGTCGAAAACACTAGAAAGGCGCTATAAATACGGAGCATTTACATTTATGTTGACTGGTGTAACAGGGACGCTGGGTTGCTCGTCATCACAGAAACAGATCATGAGATTGTGATATTTATTGCAGCTTCAGTAATATCGGCTGCCTTCCCTTCAACTCTCAGCTCCGCTGTTCACCGCAGCAAATGTCTTGTGACTGTTGATGGGCTATTATTCGCGACTTGTAACCAATCAGACAGAGCAGTGGGAGGGACATTGAGCAAGACTCCAGAGTGGTGGTTACCTACAGACAGAGAGAGGCAGCTGGATAATAATAGCGCATCTTATCATAAATTCAACAAAACTACGGATTAAATTAGACTACAAATTAGAAACAACCCCCAGTATAAAGAGAAAGTAGGATTTATTGCTGAACAGTTGAATTAGACTGTATTAGTTTTAATGAGGTGTACCTACTAAAATGGCAAATAAGTGACTATTAAGACAAAAACATTCAGCATCTGTTTTATTTATTCTATTCAGCGCTAACTAAAGTATCTGAGTACACTGAGAGAGCAGGAAACATTTCAACAGCTTTATATATAGACTGCTAGTTTTAACTGCTTAATATGGAGAACAACTCAGACATGACAAAGAGGCTCCAGCAGACACCGCTTTACAAGACCACCCGTTTCATTTTCAACTGTATATACACAAAAATAATCTGCCAGGACTTTCTTTGATTAATCGGTTACTCATTTGGTCTATAAAATAACCAAAAAAAACAATGTCAATCACATTGACCTAAATGTCTTAAAAGGTCTTTTCCCACACAACAAAGCTGAAGTTAGCTTCGACCGTTAAGGGGAAAGTTACTTACTTTTATTTGTGGTCAAAAACCACTCCACCCAGAGCGGTCAGATCTGGACTAAGTTATTGCACAGAGGCTAGAGTTTCTTTAAGACATATTTTGAGATTTAAGAAACCATTATCCTTATTGTGAAAGTACTATAAAAGCGTGATTTCTGTGTATATTTTGCATGTAGACCGCATTAGAACAGGTCCAGATCAAAAACCACTGCACCCAGAGCGGTCAGATCTGGAGCGGCTAAAGTTTCTATTAAAACATACTTTCAAATTCGTGAAACTTTGTTCTATTTGTGAAAATATGTTACAGCTGCAGCTGCTATAATGGTTTTTGATCTGCACCTGGTTTAATGTGGTCCACATGCAAAAAAAAAAGAGCAGTAGAATCGCCCTTTTCACTTTCACAAATAAAATAAAGGTTTTTCAAATGTAAAAATGTGTTTTAGACAGCCTTAAGGCTTTGCCTAAAATGCCTAACAGCTTTCACAAAACAGGGAGAATCAGTCGCTCAGCAATGCAAGTTAAATTTCGCCTTAACTGCCGAACCCATTATCAAAATGATCATTTCCTGTCGTCTGTCAGATGAATCTAGTGAAGTAAGAAGTGTTATTTTGCCCTCACAGGTGCGCTTCAGTACAAAGTAAGTAAAGTACAAGAACCTTACTGTCCTGTCTGTTACTGTCAGTCACTGACTCACAGCTCAGCGTCAGTCACCTCACTTCCACCTTAACGACGTTTATCCCCAAACAATCTCCGTTTTCCACCTTTAACCCAGTTCAGCGCGCCGCTGTCTCCTGCAGCGTGTCCTGCGCGCGCTGACGCAGCTAGCCACCGCGGCTACACCCGCGCGCTCCCTCCTCACAGCAGCGAGGTGAAACACGCGGGTCAGAAGCTGGACGCGTCTCTGCTGCCGCGAAATATCTCAAAGTTACCTGTGAGACTGAAGCCACCGCTGCACGTGCTAACTCACCTACCGGCAACGTGAGCTCCGTCTTCCTGTTGTTGTCGTACGTCACGTGTCGCCCTCCGGGTCCTAAACCCCGCCTGGTTGCTGCTTCAGCCGGAACACCTTTTTTCTAAATGAAACAAAATTATAACCAGTGTTGGAAGAAGCGTTCAGCTCGTGTACTTGAATAAAACTAGTAATATGACACTGAGTTCATAACTATGAGAGGCCGATTAGGGTGAAAACATTGAAAAACAGACGCACACGCACTGACAATGTGCGCACATACACTGAAAATAAAATACTGGCACATTCACAGTGACAATGATCACACATGCACCAACAACACACCAAGCACACGCACTGAAACCAGCCACAGACACACTGAAAATGTGCGCACACACCACCGACTGTGCACGCACGCACACTGAAATATGTGTACATCCACACTGACAAAGTACACAAACACACTGAAAATATTCACAGCACACAAACTTCACACAGAGTAGGATACAGGCTACTTGTGCCTGTGAAGTCATTTCAGTGCCTGTTTCATTGTAACAGGAAGTCACTGATGCAACAAGCTAAATATTCATGGTCAAAATACATGTAGAATGTGTTTAATAAGCTCAGCAAATCTTTGCATATTGTAGATCATAAAGTGAAGTGTTGTAGGTTTCATGTGAAGAAGAAGACAGAGATGAAGTTTATAAAATATCTGAAGGTGAGGAGCAACAATTAAATGTGACATACAATAAACATCCCTCCCTGTAGGTTTAGGGATGCTGAACTAAATATATAAATATAATAAATGATTAACTGTTGCTTAGATAAACAATCTCTCTGAACAAGGAATAACACTCGCACTGAAATCCATGTTTCATCATGTTAGCTATGCTTTTATTTTGAAAGTTAGGACAGGAATCTAAGGCTTCCTGTTACACTAAGAGATTCTGTTTATAGTGTGTTTATTTGTGTTCTCTATACTGCAGCCGTTTATTATTGTATGAGTAAGCACATTGTGAGCAATGTACAATCCAAAGTCAAATTCCTCGTATGTGAACACATACCTGGAGAATAAAGCGGATTCTGATTCTGAGAAAATACCCCCCTACAGGTAAAAGTCCTGGGTTCAAGTATTATCAACAAAATGTACTTAAAAGTACTCACAGTGCAGTAAATGTTCCCTGTCAGTGTTTTGGGATTAGCTAAATAGACAATTAATTATGAAACATACTCAATTTACAGAAAACACACATGACGTATGTGGCAAACAAACATGAGGGAGGTTAAGAGGAACGACTTCCTGTAGCTGTCCTTATTACTGCAGAGCTGCAGGACTGAAGAGACTTTGTTGTCTGACCAGTAGTTTGTGCAGAGCATGTGAAGTCTTAGCCGTAATTTTCATCCACGCAACATGACATTTTACTCTAGGGTTTTGCTAATTTGAACTACTTTATATACTGTTGGGTGGTTTAATCTACAGCAATGCATCATATTATTTACAGTCATCATATGTTTGTATTGCCGTCCTGTAAGAACCACCTACTGTATCTCTAAAAAGTCGAGCCCTGTTTCCTGTTCTAAGATCGGTTTAAATTGTTTTATTTTACTTTTATTTTACCAGGAAGCCTCATTGAGATTAAAAATCTCAATTACAAGAGAGACCTGGCCAAAGAAGCAGCCAAATAGATTATTTAGATTAAAAAGTAGGAACACTCCATTCAAATTTAAAATCACCTCATATGGAGATACATGGTTTTCACTAGACAGGAAAGGTATGAAAGATTGTAATATAAAAAGTAACTAGTAATTAAAGCTGTCAGACAAATGTAGTGCAGTAAAAAATACAATATTAGCCTCTGAGATGTGGTGGAGTCGAAGAATAAAGTAACATAAAATGGAAAGAGTAAAGTACCTCAAATTTGTACTTGAGTAAATGTACTTAGTTACATTCAACCACTGATAGTATAATAATAATAATAACAATTAATCAAATTTGAGGCAAACTTATCAAAATGTTGTGATTTTATATATTAAAAAGTCAATAAAATATTAATATTAAAATAGATAATTCTTAGGGATGTAAAAATTCAACATTTCCCAACATCACTTCTGATACCACATCCATAGGTGTCATTTACTGTACACTGACATGTCCTCAGCACTTCTTGAAAGCATTTAAAAAAGGTTTTGAAAAACAACTTGCAACAAGAAATGTTCAATAAGAAATGAAACTGCTTTGAGAAAAGTTTATTTGCACAACAAGAAAACATGCAATGCAAAGTAAATACAGAAGAAACAAATGTGTATTATCCAGAAAAAGCAACTTAAGCTTTCTCTTTATATAAATAAAGAAATTTCTATCAATTAACGCAAACCCTCAAAACAGTTAGAGGACACACCACAACTGTCTCTTTCTCATAGTCACATTTGAATGCAGTGGGTTTAAATTCACTGCAATCAGCTTGTTAAATACTCACAATGAGTAAGTTTTAAATTAGAGAACGTAAACTTCCCTAAAACCCCAAATTTCCAGAAAAAACACATACAGGCCACGACCTCAGTGTCAAGTCGTGTCTTTTCTTGAATGAACTTCAGAATAGTGGCATCCTTTAAGACTCATGTTTAGAACAGCTCGTCCTCACCAGAAATAATAAGTAATTATTTAGCTTATTCTGACCCATATTTCCAGTAAGTTTTTTGTTAGCCCGTGACCTCTGGTGGCAGAAGACGTCAGGCGACGTGGTGTAAAGAGCGACAAAGTGTAAGACAGAAAGTCAAAGGTAACATCCATCCATCCATCCATCGTCAGCCGCTTATCCTGCGTACAGGGTCGCGGGGCGCCGGAGCCAATCCCAGCTGACATCGGGCGAAAGGCGGGGTCCACCCTGGACAGGCCGCCAGTCCTCAAAGGAAACATGTTTTAAGTTAAATAATGTTTTGTACATGACTTACACCATGTACTTATTTTAACCCAAAGTACACTGGAGTGGTACTTCCCAACACTTGTAGATGATGTTTTGGGGAACAGTCAAATAATGTCATGTCATTTTGGAAACACTTTGTCGTTTAGGTATGAGGACGTGTTTCAGAAGCTTAAGGACGCTCCAGACTGCTGCGATATCTTTTGACTTCATGCTACAGCCTTTACATTTACATTACATTTACCTCCCTGCTGTCTGATGGGCGTGCAAGCTGTGAGTGAACATTTACTGCAGAAGATTACAGTATTAATGAATGCCTAGATTTATTCACGTGTATTTCTTTCATTTTAAAAAAACATACAGTGACATAAGCTATGAGCCATCTGTTATATGTAACCCACATATTACTTTATTTACATTATTAGCCTATAGTATGACCTAACTTAAGTAATTCACCTTAGACTTGAAAAAAATATATAAAAATACATAAATAAAACAGATGCATGTCTTTACTAATTACATGAAAATGGGAATCAATTTATAAGTTCTATAAAACAATAACTGGTGAACTACTATATACACATATCAGACACAAACTTCAGATGAAGGCATGATAGCCAAACATCTGTGTTAAGCACATCAGCCCTGATGCATACTTTAGTTTTTGTGTCAACACATGGTTAAATATACTACAATTCTGCAGCAATACCCTCCAAAATAAGTTTCTGTGGATCTATTACTTCTAAGTTTTAAAACAATTTGAGTTAAACCTCTTTAAGGTCTAACTAACTCCAAAACAAGTAACATCACAATGTAGGATAAGGTACATTTTTGGTGTTGTGGAACAATAGTAGCCCATATAAAATATGACATTTCCTTATTTTGTGTAATAACAATACTTTACAAGAATAGTTTGTGGCCAGGTCGGGGCTTACCCCTTCAATGTTTTTATACATTTTATTAAAGTCTGTATTTTGGGACAATGAGGAGGTAAAACCAAAGTCAAGAAAACACAAGACGAAAATCGAGCGCCTTGTTTCATTTTGAAGGAAAGGCCGTCGACATTTTCCCATACGAGGGGTAAGTCGAGCCACACGGGGGTCGGTGACATCAAGGTCATTTCATCAGGCGAACTCAAACGACAGGTCCCAACATTTAATTGCATTTAGCAGTGAAACATGGCAGCCATTTGTTTCATATCGATGTATCGCTTTAAAGCCGTCCTGCTGATCGTCATGTCTCACCTGATGAATGCACTTCCTGTTTGCGAGAGTTGAATCCCGTCTGTCTTCCATTCATAGAAGCTTGACATGATGGTTTCTGCTCTAAAATGCATAATGTCACATCATTTCGCTGATGCATAAAAATACAATGTCAAATTACAGTTAAACATCTGGCTCATCTTCCGCCAGGTCTTCAGGCTCAAATCACCCCGTCCTGCCTTTTTAACAAACTTGTGTCATCCAGCAGTTGAAGAACTAACAGTATAGCCTCATATTGTCACTTCCTAAAGCTCAAACACATGTAAGATTATTTCAAACCTGTCTGTAAATGTTCAGACAAAAGAATCACGACTCCTTGAACATTAAAAAAATCACTTTGAATGGTAAAAAATGTTTTTTGATCTTAAATGTGCTCATCGCCTTTAAGAGAGTAAAGTGAATAACTCTTCAAAAATATGTGTTCATATGACCAAATTTGTTCGATGGTTGCTGAGAAACACGGGGTGGCTCAGCTCAGATCACCCCGCTCTCCCCTAATTCTGAAATCCATCTTTTGGTGTAGACTGACTCAGTTCCTGTGCGTTCTGCTCCAAGGTCTCTGTGAAGCTTCTTTCTTTCTTTTATTAAACTGAGTTTTACATTCGGAAGAATAACACAACGTGTCTCTGGAAGAGCAATGATTATATTTTAGAAAAACAGGAGAAGAGGACCTGACAAACCTGAGCCGGTTCAGATCAAATAGGGTAGCTGCTGGAGAAAAAGAAGAGCGGTGGTGGAGCTAGAGATGAAGAAAAAGTACAGTTTGAAGCGGGAACT